ATATATATATATATATATATATATATATATATATATATATATATATATATATATATATATGTGTGTGTGTGTGTGTGTGTGTGTATTTTCCCTTTTTTGTTGAAAGCATTGGTCAGTATATCTGGCTATTATCGATCATATGGTTTATCAATAATATATTTTCAGGGGCTGGTGAGATGGCTCAGTGGTCTAAAGCACCTACTTAGAACAAGCTTAGCAAAGCACAGGGACCACAGTTCAATCCCCCAGCACCACATGCCAGCCAGCCCCGCCCCCTGGTGGGCTGAGCTTGCCACACACACACACAAATTAATTAATTAATTAATTAATTAAAAAAAAGAATGAGATGAGCTCATTTATAAAAAAATAATAATAATATATTTTCAGTATAATCTGTAATACAATCCTTGTGAAAATTATGCTTTCTCAGTCAGAATCTTTGTAAGTTAATACTTGGTGCCTATGAAGGCCTCGGGAGCTATTTATCATCCGTTGCACACACCTAAAATGCAAATCCTTGCTGCTACTTACCATGCCAATAAAATTGTTAATGATTCCTCCATTTCTATCTCAAAGTAACCATCCGAATGTTTTGCCAAGTCAGATAATGACTTCCATTCATGGTTTTCCATGGACTTCGGTCATGCAGTTTTCCTGGACAGACACCCTGAGGGCCCTCGCCTGTGGGCTCAGGAATAGCTGCAGCACCCACCATGGCACCGACTGCTGGGGAGGCCTCTGCCCTGTGAGCGCTTTGGCGTGGAGACACGTCTGCTCTCTTTCCGAGCTGCCTCCAGGATGTCAGCACAGCCTGACAGCATCGCGGGAAACATTGCATAAGGGCGAGGTGGGAGGGGAACAAGGGGAAGGAAGGAGAGGGGAGGGGAGGAGAGGGAGGAAGAGGAGAGGAGGGGAGGGGGGGTGGGGCGGCAGTCTTAACAGCCACGGAAAGACTGACTCATCTCGCTGAGGACTCACGGTGCAAGAAATCCTGGTTATCCGGCCTGATCTCAGTCACTTCATCAAGCCAACCCTCGTCTTCCTCTCACTGTGTCTCAGCACACCAGCCACACACACTTTATTCACATGCGTACCTCGAAGGTGGCATGCACGAGGCAGCCCCTGGTTTGTGCTGCTTGCACTTGTAACAGCAATGTGAAGCGAGGACTTTGCCTAGAATCTCCTCCGGCGCCTGGAGGGAGTGCTCTGCACTCGGTCGCCTGTGCGGCTACTGCTCTAAGTCTAAAGGACTCACATTTCCCGGAAAAGTGCAAGCCTGCACGCGCACTGCACGCCTGGCCCTCCGTCCGCCGGCCACCTTGCTGTGCTCACGCGTACCTGGCATTTTCCTCTCACCGTGGGATCCTTTTCCAATTTCTTCCACTGTAAATTCAACAAATCTGCTACACAGTTTTCTCTTTAAAGCCACCTCCTGCAGTATCTTGACTCTGAACAGCACGGATTGCATTGGTTTTCCCTCTGACTATTACAATTTGTTTTGTAAAATAATTATTGGATTTCTGAAAGCAAAGATTGTATTTTCCTTCATTTTCTATTCCTTCAAATACTGATTTTCACATAGTAAACACTAAACTCACTGTTATCAAAATTAACTTTTTTTTTTCTTTTTTTGTGGAACTGGGGATTGAACTCAGACCCTTGCACTTGCCAGGGAAGCGATTATTCTACTGAGCCATCTCCCTGGCCCCTCAAAATTAATTTTTACAGGATAGGACTATGGCATTAAAACGATAAATTGATATTGAAGTACTTAATGCCTGGGTGCTTTACATCAACTAAAATTTTATTGAGATGTATGTTGAAAAATAAGCATATAGGCATTTGGTTGTACTTATGCAATTCTTGCGTAGATACCTACACGATCAGCTTGCTTTTATCCTGATCCCTAGTCCACAAAAATCCACATTTCACAGTGCTTAGTCTGCATGCAGTTAACCTAGCATTCTACTTTTGATAGCATTGTGAGCTGTTCAGTTGGTGTGCGCTTACGACAAGGCATTGAGGATCTGCTTGATGCTGCTGCATGGAGTGTGGGAGGTGCTCACTCTGCAAAAGCTGCAGGTCACGTTTACTCTGCAGCCACCAAGGAGGTCTCTGTTTCTGTGTCTTCAGCACAGAGTCAAGGCTGTCTCTGAGTCCCTACGTCAGGGTCACAGGAAATGGGCTGCTGGATGCTGCAAGCTATTTCATAATTTGAAGGGCTTTCAAAATATTAATTTCAAGGCTGAACGTGTTGGATAAATTTGCAAGACATAAACCCTGAATAATTAATGTGGGTGCGGAGCTTAAACCGAGGATACTCGTATTCTTTTAGCAAGTACTTGTTTACAGGCTTTAGAAACTAAAAACAAGGAAATCAGTGAGAAAGCCTCTCAGATTGAAGATAACTGCTCAGATTGGAGCAGGAGCACTGGAGATGTGCAGAATCACGCATACTGAAGAGATATGTTAGAAATGGAATCAAGGAAAACTTTAAATACTATGCGCTGCTGGTTTTGGGTTTTGCAAACTCCAAATGTACTCTATTAAACATTGAGCTAAATGAAATTAAAAAATAAAATAAAAGCTGTTTTCTTGAAGAAGCCCTAGTTCCACAGGTCATTTCCAAGTTTTCTCTTCCACTTTGACACTTTGTTCAATTTCAAGTACCTTAAAACTAACCCAAACCAATTTAACAAATGACCAAACTAGTAAATGCAAAGCACCATCACAAGCTCTCCTGTCTAGCCAGCTCTCAGTGATGGTCTGCTTGCTCTGGAGGCTCACTTCATTCGTTCCTTCTAGTCATGCTTTTAGCTCGGTACGAATCGATTTGTGCAATAGCTCAAAGAGTGTTGCATAAGTTATTTCCTCTTCTAAATTATTAAATGCTTCCATGTGAACAACTAATATGGGGATGTTAGGCTGTATGGCAAGCTTGCAAGGGGTGGGTTCTGAAATGCCTTCCCAGCTCCTCTCTCTAAATAGGACAGACTGGTGCAGGCCACAGATCTTCACAAGGTGAAGCTCTAATGGCTGTTTTGCTACGCACAACTTCAGAGAAAGATTGAATATGCAGAATTTCAGCAAACATAGTGAGGAATACATGTTGCATTCAATAATAAGACAAAATCTTTGGAAACAAATGCATTTGGAACAATGTTTCTGACTATATCAAAAAGACACTAATGTTATTGCCTGAGCCACATTAAACCACAAGGAGGTCATTTTGGACAAATGAACTACAGAGAACTTAGTTTGCCAAGCACATTGTATTTCTGAAAATTAATCTTTAGTTCATAATTGAATATTGTTTTTACACATAAAATTTATAATAGGTAATAAATAGATGAGGCAGTTATATTCCTTATGATTTCCAAGAAAGAACTTATCATGCTTAGGTTTGGAGTTCTCCTTATATAGCAGAAAGCAAAATAACCCAACTCTGTCTTAAGAAAATATGTATTTTTGGCTTTTTTATCACAAGAAATTTGGTGATCATATAAACGCAATAGGAAAGCACAAAGACATATTTATTTTTAGAATTGCAGTAGCTTTATAAATGATGTTCGGCACAGAGATACCCTTACTTCAGAAGCCTGTGGTTAATGCTGAACAATTTAATCCCTCTAAAATACTATTATAAGCAAATGTATTACCTAGAGAAATCACAAATTGCATGTTATTTCTTTCTGTATTAATGATAAAACAATATCAAAGTATAAGAATAAAATTCTTTTTTATTTATTGTAGCTTTTAATTTTAATTTATATTTTAATGTGGAGAACCAATACTATAAGTATCCAATAGTTTAAGAAAAAAATGGGTGTACTTTCAGGATTCCTGTTTTTTGTTCTTATAAAGATCAAAACAATTATTAAGATAATTATCAAAACATTATTATTGACTTCTGAAAAGTCCAAGAAAAAGACTTCTGTTTAAAAAGAGTTTGTAAGCATGATTTTCTCCAGGTAATTCACAATTCAAACCCTTTGTGAACTCGATTATCAGTTGATCTGACAAAAAGATGGATCAGAGGTCTGAATACAGCCAATGTTTTAGGATATGTCAATGTAAAGGAAATACGTGCTAATCAGTTGTTTTAAAATTTTTCAATTTGCACTGTTATAAACTTTAAAAACATAAAAAAATGTATGAAGTAAATCTTTTTATTCTCTTCAAATTTAATCCTGAATTTAAGATTCATGAATATAATAGATCAGACCGAACTACATCAGAAAACTTTTTAAATTGTGTTAAATATGCATGAGAAATTTATATTTTGGTTAAAAAAATCATAGTCCAGTAATATCCATTTCTCATAAAATGAAAAAAAAATCAAAGGAGTAAATAATTATCTGGAGGTCAGGATTATGTTTTAAGAGAATAAAAAGTTTCAATTTTGTTGCTGTTACAGTACTGTGATTAAAATCTAAGGCTCACTTCTGTGCTTTTGGCCCTATCCGAGTGCTTTCACAGCGCCATGGAACTGAGTCCTAATCCAGCAGGAGTTGATCCTCTGAGCCCCACCTGAGCCTCAGCCGTGCCTTGCCTCCCTGATTCTTAGGATCAGCAGGGTCAGATTCCTGCACGATGATTGAGTTATCATGCTGGACCTCAAATTAGTGAGAATTTTCCCACTACTACAGGCTTCTGAATGGAGGAAAAATTGCCTGAAAATAAGAGTAAAGGCTAAAATGCTAATTTATTAAAACCAACCAAGACAGTTTCTATTTTCTCTTATGCTTTTCCCACGGATAGGAGCTTCTTTTAGAGACATAGTGTAAATTGTGGAATTCCGATTGTTAGAATACATGAGATTCATCATCCCCAAAGAGAACCCTGCTGGCATACCTGCTCCACTGCATGGCCACACTCTACTCCTACAAAGTTCGTTAATAGAAACCTCTTTAGATTACACAAAATGAGTTCTATTCACTACTACACTGGTTCCAAACGCTGCCAGTGTAAACATACAAACTGTAAGATCGAAAGCATACCAGCCACGGCGAGGAAGTCGTCAATGCTCGTGATGTCATCCACGGCCTCCGTGAGCACGTGCATGTGGTCCTCCCACGCCCGCTGGTACACCGCCACAGCATTTTGCACCACTTGACTTTTGGGTCTCGCAGCCAAAGCAAGTGCGGCATTGATGATCTGTGGAGATTCAGGACATTTACACAGTGAATTATTTGTAAACAATTACCAGTGTTCAGGTATCAGCTACTCTTTCTTCAAAAAGTTAGATATATTTATCCTTTTTTGTTTTATAAAGAGAGTACAAAATAGTGTTAAAACAAAACAATTACAAGTGATACAGAATTTCACTCAACAAGGTAATGTGAATTTCACAGTATTTGTTGTAATGCACAGTGTTGTCTTCCAATCAGTTATGCATATTACCAGATAATGCATGCAAAATTGGAAGAAGAAAGAAAAAGGAAATAAAGAAATATATAAGAAACTAAGAGGAGAAAAAGGAGAAATGATTGAAAAAAGAGGCAAAACAAATGAAGCATTATCTGCTCCTTTCCATAGATCAGCAGAAATCCACAGTACAGTTGTCCAAAACATCCTGCTTACATTCATTAGACAAATCTCTTTCCCCACTCCCTCTCCTGTCCCTCTCCTCAACTCAGTAACACTTTCATTCTGAATAAGTTTATTCCCGCTTTGCTGTGTGCATTGTACCCTTCAGATTCCATGTTCTCTTTCAGGTTCTCGTGCTGAGGAGACAGTACGATGTTTGCACACGCGGTTCTGATTTATTTCACTTAAGAGTAATGATAAAGCATCAATTCTCTTTGCTTTTGGTAATAATTTTATTTTCAGCAGTAATTTAATTTAGATGCTATTTATTAAATACTATTACCAAAGGATCTCAGGAAATAGAAAGATAATTGATATAGCTTGAATATTACTCAGTGAGAAAGGATGACACCAAACTACAACTTCATTCAGATATTATAAATGACATAAGAACAAATAACAGTTAATAAATAATAAGGAGCCTAGAGACCACCTTCAACAGATGGGCTGTGGAGGCAACTTAGGGAAGAGGCACATTTAGGAGGGCATCCAGATTCATGTTGGACAAGGAGGCAGACAGCGAGTGCACTCAATCTGAAAGTCACTACACTGAGAGGTTTTACTTCTTTGGTGGGTAATTGTAGATATTTCACTAATAATCTTTCATATATTTATTCCATATTTCAAATATATACCAAGTGTCATTTAGCTAACACTTTTCCTAGAT